GACCAGGGAGATGGGGAGCAGCTTTTCTCGCCCCGGAGGAGGCGGGCGGCGGGACCAGGCGTCCCGCTGCTCGAGTCCTCCGGGGCGAGAAAATCCCCGTTCGTAACTGCGGATCTGACATAAGTTGGATCCGCGTAACTCGGGAACTACCTGTAGATGTTTAGATTTCTCAGAAGATTAAGTGCAATTAAACACAGTTTAGGGTAAAATTAATATTAAGAATTATTTTAAAGTATTACTGGCAGAATCCCTTTAATGATTAAAAGCAGTTTTAGGGAATATGAGGGAAAGCAGACAGTGGTGAATTCTGGAAGGACTCTCTTCTCTGTGCTGATCCTAGAAGAGAAAAGAGAAACAAATAAGCATAAACACACTGTCTTGTAACCTCAGCCTTGTCCCACAACTCGGCATCACACCATTTACAATGTGATTCAACTTCTTTGTGGCACTGTATGGTTTTGCATAACTTTTGTTATATTAATAAACATAGCACTTTTATCAATATAGCATTATTCTATTTATGAGCATTTTTTCAGCATATCTAAGCTGCAAATTTTTACTATCACTTCTAAGCCTCCAGCTAATATCAATCAGCTTGTAGAAAGTGATTATTTAGGACTACAGTAGTATGAGCAGAAATTGCAAACCTGTGTCCATATGGACGTAAATATCCAAAGAATTATTGTAAAGTATTACTTGGCCGTGTCCCTTTATGATTAAACACACCATTTAATGTTTAAGTGATATTAGTAATATTTGTGTATTTTTCTTCAAGATTAGTCTTTCACATCTGCAGCAGACATTCTAAAAAAAAAACCCACAATAAAAAAAATGTATAAAAAATGTAAAATACCAGTTATACTGAAAGCAAAGATCAAGTAATGTAAATTCTATTTTTCATCTAAAAGATGAAGTTTTCCACCATTATTTCTCACTAGAAATCCACAGAATCTTAAATAATCTAAAAGAATGTACACTATGGCTACGTCTACACTGGCCCCTTTTCCGGAAGGGGCATGTAAATTTCACTAGTCGTCGTAGGGAAATCCGCGGGGGATTTAAATATCCCCCGCTGCATTTATATAAAAATGTCCGCCGCTTTTTTCCGGCTTTTAAAAAAGCCGGAAAAGAGCGTCTAGACTGGCCCCGATCCTCCGGAAAAAGTGCCCTTTTCCGGAGGCTCTTATTCTTACTTCAAAGTAGACCAGGGAATAAGAGTGCTTCAAAGTAGGAATAAGAGCCTCCGGAAAAGGGCACTTTTTCCGGAGGATCGGGGCCAGTCTAGACGCTCTTTTCCGGCTTTTTTAAAAGCCGGAAAAAAGCGGCGGACATTTTTATTTAAATGCCGCGGGGGATATTTAAATCCCCCGCGGATTTCCCTACGACGACTAGTGAAATTTACATGCCCCTTCCGGAAAAGGGGCCAGTGTAGACGTAGCCAAAGTGTACATTCTTTTAGATTATTTAAGATTCTGTGGATTTCTAGTGAGAAATAATGGTGGAAAACTTCATCTTTTAGATGAAAAATAGAATTTACATTACTTGATCTTTGCTTTCAGTATAACTGGTATTTTACTTTGAAGTAGGAATAAGAGCCTCCGGAAAAGGGCACTTTTTCCGGAGGATCGGGGCCAGTCTAGACGTTCTTTTCCGGCTTTTTTAAAAGCCGGAAAAAAGCGGCGGACATTTTTATTTAAATGCCGCGGGGGATATTTAAATCCCCCGCGGATTTCCCTACGACGACTAGTGAAATTTACATGCCCCTTCCGGAAAAGGGGCCAGTGTAGACATAGCCTATAATTGCTATTATTGCTAAAAGGCGTCTCAGTATACTTTAAAGGATATGGTGACAAATACAGTATGAGAGATATACAAAAATAGTAACACAGCTGCACACACTCTCTCGTATTAGTCATCCCAATACACAAATATTCCAAATAAGTTCATCTCCTAATTCAAGACACCATCTAGGAGACTAATTCTCTAAAATAAAGCAAGCATGGATTGCTACTAAAAAAGTCAGGTTTTCTGAATTCAAACAGGATGATTACATTGCATCACACATCTCTAACTTATTCTTCTGAAGCCAGCTCTCCAGAGATTTCCTTTATAACTGAGTCACCTATATGAACCCTCTTATAACAGTCAGAAAATATTGTCACGTTTGCATTTAAACCAGCAAACTCTTATAAATTATTTAAATTACCCATTCTGTCTACCAGATACTGGTTATGCCAGTGGTTGTCCACTTGGGGGACACATATGCTAGAGCAGCGGTTCTCAAACTTTTTGGGCCCTTTACATGTGTAAAAATTTTTGTGGAGTCCCGGTGGTCCACTGATTGTATGTGTTGTACCTATCAATGTTTCCAGTTTGTCAACCTCATGGAGCCCCTGGAGATGTCTCGCGGAGCCCCAGGGCTCCGCGGAGCTTAGTTTGAGAAACACTGTGCTAGAGGATACATCAGCTCATCTAGACATTTGCCTGGTTTTACAAAAAGCTTCATAAAAAAGCACTAGCAAAGTTAGTACAAATAACTTGTTTATATTGCTTTATATTATACACTGAAGTGTAAATATACTATGTATATGCCAATTGATTTTATTAATTTTATGGTAAATGAGAAAGTAAGCATTTTTTCCAGCGATAACATACTGTGTCACTTTTTTAGGTCTGATTTTGTAAGCAAGTCGTTTTTAAAGCTATATGAAATTTGGTCATTTGAAAAATAAATCAAAGAGGTTCCAGTAGGTCCAGAAAGGTTGAGAACCGCTGGTTTAAAACAGAAAAACAAATGAAAATTTCTGCTATTTTGCCTTCCTCTGACACCCTGATACTCTCAAACTTCTTTCCTTCTATTGTGAGTGATGATATTGTTGAGAAAAGTTTATATGACTTTTCATCCAGGAACGGGATTTTTAAAAAAGTTAAACATTAAAAACCTATTTTCCTCCTATTAGCCTACTCGGGTCAAAATACAGATGACTTCAAATAAGGCAAAATTAACACATGTAATTAAACTACTAAGTCAAGAAACAAAATATTAACACTTCAGAGGGGGTGAAAAAAACCCCACAAGTTGCACTTCTGTCTGCTGAACAAGTCAATGAAAGTAACAGATGAAAACAAACCTTTTTCTTAGACCTTGTCTACATTGGAAAGTTCAACTAGCTATATATTTCATGTGGTTTACCAGAGTAACACCTTATGTGGATGTTTTTATTCCAGTGTAAGAGCAGCTTATTTCATGTTCCTTGGGAAGGAGTTTAAGCTAAATTAAGCCAAGAAAGACACTTATGTGAGAGTGAGGATGTCTACACTGGGCAATTATACTATCAGTTTAAACCTCACTGCTTAGGTTATACTAAGTACTTTCCCCCCAATATAGACCACTGGAATGAGTGAGCTCTAAGAAAGCACAGCAAGGAAATAACATACTCTTATGTTTATAAAGTTTGTGTACATTTACAGCACTACCATATACACAGTGAATGTTTATTATTAAACACAGTAACTGACAAAGTCCAAAGATAAAGTTCTCCTACATCAATTTAAAAAGAAACAGAAATACTCCAAATCCAGGAGGATCATATGGTCCATTACATCTTGTCCCTTTACGCCAATGCCCTTAAAATCAATACACTCAGAACTATGCGACTTGTTGAATTAATCATCACAGTAGCAAGTATTTTTGGAAGATCTGGAAAAGGATAACAAGAAAAAGCATCATATATCCAAAAAACTATTAATAGAAAAAGGCAATATTTTAGACAATGTTCTTAATCACCTCCATCTCAGGAACAATAGGATTGGTTCTTTCTGCTATTTTCTGGAAAAATGAAAGAAGAGCTATTTGGGTGGCCATTTACTTAATATGGCACAGTAGTGCTGGCAGATTGTTTTATTTTAGAATTAGTGAAGAGCAAACAGCATTGTTTCCATGTAGGATATTTTTAATATGATGTACTTAAAGTCCAGTGTTACAATACTAATATTTATCCCAGAACAGACTTAAAAAGACCTCTGATAAGAAACTGACTAAAATCCCACATTCCCATGCAACAATAGCAAAAAGTAGTCATACTGTGGTATCGAAAGTACTTATGAATTAAGTATGCAGCTGAGCATGTTAAACCATGTGTTACACAGTCAAGGTAGGAGACTTAACAAGACTTTTTGTTGATCACTATAGTATATTCAACAAAACTTTCCAAAAAAATTTAGTCCTTTTTTTATGATGTTCCTGAACAAATGATATTAAAACACAAGGCATCCAACTACAGTATTTTTTCATGACCTATGCAAAAGTACAAACAAGTGTCACAATATTATACTGTCTTTCTATAAAGAACACTCTTCAACAAAGAGAAAATATTAGTTTGTGCGCTATAACAGAGAAACAATTCTTAACTCCGAACAAATGGTAGTTAGAAATAATTCTAGGTCAAGTATAACCTTTAAAAAATACCAATCAATTTCCAAGTACTCCTCCCAGAGGGGTAATTATAGTTCAGTGTCTGCTTCTGGACATTAAGGACTTTCTTAAATTTCAATAAATCCATTAACAGCTCCATTTTCAAAATAAATATTTTGCAATTCTCTTTCTCTCATTCAAAATATCTGAATACCCTGTAACACTAATCTGCATTTAAATGTTTGATATAGCTATGCTGATCTGTGAAGGCTATGAAAAAATCCACACCACTGATTCTGGTAGTTGTACTGATCTAATTCCCTGTAAACACAGCTAGGTCAATAAAAAAATTGCTTCTGTTGATTTAGCTACCATCATTTGGGGACGTGTTGTTGCTACTAGGGATACTAGAGTTTAACCAATTAAACGGTTAACCGATAAGCATTAGCTTATCAGTTAACCTTATCAGTTGAACTCCTGGCCATAGCCAGCAGCCCATAGGTCTAGCAGCCGGTGGAGTGTTTAACCCAGGGGTTCCCAAACTTTTTGAGACGGGGACCCGTAAATCCATTCACAAGCTTTTGGAGGATCGGTAACATTCATTTGCATATCTACATATTCATTAAGCAAATAACTTTCTGGTCCTCCCAAAGCCGTCAGTGCCAGCTTTATCAAAACTTTTGATACGGTCACCAACAATATTCTTGCCAGAAAGTTAAGGTACTATGGATTGGATACGTGGACTGTAAGAAGGATAGAAAGCTGGCTAGACGAGGGTTTCCCAAACTTTTTACTCTAGTTGGAACCCATTTTCTTAGTAGTTTTTTGCAGCCCAAAAGTATAAATGCATATTAAGAAAAAGAATGAAAAATGAATACATTTTCACTGTGTATTATTTATTCACAATAATAATAGTACATAACATAAATCTTAATTACAATTTAAACCAGTAGAATTTTAACAGTTGTAAAATTCTGTTTATTTATAATTGAACTAATGGGAAGGGTGATATTGTTTTGCATCACATAGCAACTTTCTGTCAGGAGCAAAAGAAGAAAGTTTTATCCTCAAATCTGATTGAATGTTTAATCTATTTCTATATTTATTTTTGAAGAAAACCAAAAGATAAGAAACTAGTTTCACACTTATATGTCGTGACGAAAGGCATTAAGAATTTGACTGCTTTCTCAGATAAATGTGAATATTCATTTCTACAGCTCAACTAAAAATCAATCAAGGAGAGTTTATCAAAGTTCTCTTTTAAGGCAGAGTCACAGGAAAGTTAAATTAATTCATTCATTTCTGATGCACTCAATTGTAGTATTTCTTCATTTTCGGTGTCAACAGTAAACGGGTTCTTAATCCACATTTTACTGGCATCAATTGGAGGAAAAATATTCATTTAAACTTGATGTTAGCCCCAAAAGGTGTTCTTGGATTGCTGCAGAAATCTCATCTGAGATATTAGTTTCAGCATATTTTTCTTGTAATTCAGTTAAAGTACAAAAAGACTTAAAGTTTCTCTTGTTAACTCGCTATGCCCATAAACGAAGTTTTTTAATTGTTGCCTCAACTTTTCTGTGAACTTTGAAAATATTAATTTTAGTGCCTTGTAAATTCAAACTTAAATCATTTAAAAGACAAAATATGTGACAAGTAAGCCACCATTGTTAACCAATCAAATTCATGAAACCTGTCTTTAAATGTAAATATAATATCTTTTGCCGATGGAGGGTGTCGCTCCAAGAACAATAAAACTTCATCCTTCATATCAAAGAGTCGTTTCAAAATGTTTCCTTTCGACAGCCATTGAACCTCACAGTGTAGTAGGAGATTCTCATGTTCACTTCCTAATTTGTTGCACAAAGCAGTAAAGATTCTGGAATTCAAAGGATGAGATTTTATATAAGTTATAAACTTCACACATTCTTGAAGAGTGGAACTCAAAAGTGATGGCATAGTTTTCACAGCTAGTGCCTTTCTGTGAATACTGCAGTGCACCCATACACAGTCAGGTGCTACAGCTTGAATCCTCGGGATAAGCCCAGTACGAGACCCCGCCATTGCTCGAGCCCAATCACTGCTCAGTCCTACATACTTTTTCTAGTCAATATCGCTTTGAATAATAAAATCATTGTTTAGCTTAAAAATTTCGGCAGCTGTTGTTCTTGTTGGAAGTGGTTTATAAAATAAGAAATCTTCTTGAATGGAGCTTTGATAATCATATCTAACAAAACACATAAAATTGGCAGCGTCAGCTATATCTGTGCTTTCATCCACTTGTACTGCAAAAAACTGACTATTCTGTAGTCGATGAATGAGCGTTTCTTCAATATTTTTCGCCATTTATTCAATTCTACATTTCACTGCATTGTTGGATAAAGACAGAGAACCCAACTGATTTCCCTTTTTTCCTCCATAAATACGGAATGTAATAATATTCAATGCAGGAAGTATTAACCTTTCACCAACAGTATGCGGGGAACCTGTCTCGGCTATTAGTTTTGAAACTTCATATGAAGCCAACACAAAGTTTTCATTTGAAGAGCCCATTGAAAGTGTACTTTTCATGCTTTTTTTTTTTTTTAGCAAAAGCTAATTCATTTATTTTATTTATGAAAAAAAAAAATCTATGGGCTTACTCGCGTATTCTGGATGTTTGCATTCCAAATGGTGTTTCAGTTTTTATGGTTAAAGCACTCGTTGGACAGTTCTGTGAGACAGATTAGGCATAATGGCAAGTGATTATCACTACCAACACTTATAAAACCAAATTTCAAATACTCATCAGAATAATTGTGAGTCGAAGGAGTTTTTATCTTCTTACTCTCACTTGTACTAGGCTGCACACTGGTACTAGGCTACACATCATTCAAACATTTTTTAGTTGTATTTCCAGTCACATTCTTCAGCCATTTATCCATATTGAAGATGAAAATGAGAGGGTATGTTATTGAAAATAAATGAAGAAAGCTTAAGCAGTTAACCTCAGAGGACGTGCACGTTATCCCACTGTGCAGAAACGAGCAGAGGCTGCTGTATCATGTGACAGGAAAACCAATGACACAGGCTTGGCTGCATGAAAATACATGTGCTTCCGGGGAGATGAAGCCCTTTCCCTGCCCCTACCAGGTGGCCTGCGCTCCCCGGCACTGCCAAAGCACTGTGCTGCCCCAGAGAGCCCGCCCCCTGGAGGAGCCACTGAAATCCCATAGGAAGTAGTCCACCACTCACCCATGAAGACCACCGCTGTCCAGAAACCCCGGCTGCATCCTCCATCCACCCCGGGCCAGGGCTTGGGGATGCGGCGACGCATGGGCAGTCCAGGAGCCCAGAGCTCCCGGCCATATCCTCCATCCAGCCCGGGCCAGGGCTCAGGAATGTGGCACCGCACGGGCCAGCTGGGAGGCAGGAATTCCCAGCCGCATTCTCCGTGCAGCCCAGGCCAGGGCTTGGGGACGCGGAGCCGCACGGGCCTGCTTGTAGCCTGAACACCTCGGCAGCCACGCTGAGGCCCAGTATATTTTTGCACTGGGCCGCGGCCCATAGTTTGGGAAACGCTGGTTTAACCAATTGAAATTCAATCATTTACACCAGGGGTGGAGAACACACTGACCCACAGAAAAATCAGGGTCAGATAGGCCTTAGGTTCCCCACCTCAGAGTTACATGGTTAGGGCTTTTTTTGTTTTTTAATTTTTATATCCTTAGAGTTCCTAAACCAACTGAAAAAAAATTCTTTGTCACTGTAGGCCCGGGCTACTCAACTCTGGAAGCCCTGGGGGCCACAATGATACTCACAGCTCATGACAAGGACTGCAACTTAAGTGTGGTTGCATATACATGCAAACATATATGCAAATATATGCAAATAGCTTCTTTCACACTGATGGGCATAAATACAAAGATTAAGGCAAGACTATACAACACACAGGCCCCATTTAAGTCAGTTCTGCTGATATTAATAAAATGCAATATTTATCCGATTTCTACCCATATGACAGCACTTTTAATGAGCAATGACAGTCCAGGAATTTAACTACTAAAATCCGTATCAATAGAAGACTACAAGTATTGACTACTTTTTGGTTTTGGCTCCCACCTGCAGGCCACATGTTGAGCCTCAACCACACCGCGGGTCGCAAACAAAAGGGGCCGCGTGTTAAGTAGCCCTGCTGTAGGCTGTGTAGGTAAGCCAATACAGTCCTTGTAGTATAGGCCTATCCAGTGTCTGCATGGAGCGATCACTCAGGGAGCACAACTGCCAAATGTAGGTGCTTACACAGGTTCCCAGCTCCTGTGTTTTCTCTCTCAGCCAGGCACACTGGAATGTATTTGTCCCTCTGCCAAGGTTTGTTGTTTTACTTAAAGCCCCACCTGCTGGAGTCAGGGGAGTGCACACAACTCTCAGCTTTCACTGGGAAAAGAAAACCAGTAGCTCCTCTGGCTGCAGAGCAACCCCAGGGAATCTTTGGGGCACAAAGAAAAGTCTCATGATTTCCAGGCTGAATCGCAGGATTTCCCAGGCGAAGGCTCTTTGCACACCTGGACTAGGCCATCCGCACTGGCTCTCCCGAGGGTGCAGACAGAGCCCCAGGCTGGTAACCACCTGTCTGGCACAGCAAACACCCAAAGGGGTGCCCCCTTCCCAGCAGAGGTCACGTGGGCTTAGACTCCCCTGAGGCACTGACTGAGCGCGGGAGGGGGTGAGAAGCGCCCCTGAGGCTGGGGCTGCCCCGCCGCGCGCGCA